ACGGCAACAAAAGACTAGAGCAAGAGAAAAGTACGGACTCAAAGGGTTGGGGGAGTACGGGCTCACAGGTTGAGACTGTCTCTTATACACATCTAGATGTGTATAAGAGACAGGGATTGGACGGACGGCAACAAAAGACTAGAGCAAGAGAAAAGTACGGACTCAAAGGGTTGGGGGAGTACGGGCTCACAGGTTGAGAGTTTAGGGTTTAGGGTTTAAAGCTTGTTCTAAAAAAGGGGAGACAGATAAAATGGGAAAGGGGATATCACACCTCACGGGCAGGACAGATGAGTGGGGAGGACACAGGTCGACTGGGACAAAGGAGGATCTCTTTCTAGGGGCCATATCACCATCTGGCAGATCTGGCCTCCAGATCTGAGAGGAAAGAGAGGGGCACGGCAAGCTGACAGTTAATCCTCCACCAGGGTGGAGCAATCAATGTTGTTCAGGGGTCCTTCGGCCAAACGGAAGGAAGCGTGGTCAAGTTTCAATGTAATGTACTTTCAGACTTGCCGGTGGAATAGGAACCGGACTGACGCTCCCCAGAATAGAAGGAGCCAGGACCTTAAGGCCCTGTTTTTTGTACAAAAAATAAAAAATAAAAAATAAAATGGAATCGGACTGATGCTCCCCAGAATGGAAAAGGAGCCGGAACCCTGAGGTTCTGTTTGAGAGAAAATAAAATAAAATAAAATAAAATCCTACAACTACTCCTGTTCCTCCTTCTTAGCCCCTATAATCTCTCCCCTAACCACTCTATGGGACCCCAGAGAGAATGAGGCAAACATGTCTTTGCAAGGTTTCCTGACCTCTGCACTTGCACCCTGACTGATTCCACAAAATTCCCCCTGGTGGGCCTAAGTGGTTGGGGGTTGGCACTGGCCATTACTGCTGATGCAACCCTGTTGACGACCCTGGTTCCTTGGAACACTTGCTGCCAGGAGCCTTACGTTGAACCACCCCAGAATCAGATCCAGTGCAACCGGACGTTTGACAGCAGAGCCTCTTGCTCGGACACCCAGCCACTTAGCCTATTGGTCAGGTGTCCGCTTGGTGCATGTTGCATGTTCGGTGCACGTTGGGCACAAAGCGATTGCTCTTCCTTCAAATCACATAGACAGAGAAACTGTATAGCCATCCCTAACAAGAAAATGTCCATACAGCCACTACTTCCATTGATGGTCAACCAGTCTGCCACTTTGACCTGTTGGCTCATATTGCAGTATTACCCTTCAGGACCAGGCCCATTTGACCAATAGGGATCGCTGCATTGCATGAATTGGGTAGGCGTTGGAATGAAATTGGATCAGGTTTTCCTTCCTCCAGCACATTCAAATCCTATACCTTTTGTGTTACAGATTGCATACAAAATGTGTCCCTTGGATGGCGCTCGTCGACCTTCCAGGCAGCTGAAAGCGACGTCCAAGTGTGTCACTGATGAAGGGGAAAGTGGCACATTCATAGTATTCTCATACACACCATTCCTCCTTGGATAATGGCCATCTACTTTCAGGTCCAGACCCATGTTGGTATCGGGAAAAAATATACGTATATTTGGCGAGGAAGTGCCCAGTGACTTGTGGATACATAGCACATACCTGGCGGAAAGTTTTGAGACTGCTTATAAGATTGTAGAGATGGTACTCCCGCTCCCATTGTTCCAGAGGAGTGAACTCTGCAATACAAGAATGCAATCCAGATAAGCAATGTAAGGCAGCGGAAGACTAAAGAATAATGATCTGACTCAATCAGACTCCTGAGTATGCGCACACATACATCATCACACATGTCAAGATGCGAGGAGGGGGACAACCATACACGAAAGATTCCCCCTTGTTCACAGAAACATGGGAAGAGAGACCACAGATGAAGGAGGCGGGAAAGAGATGACTGTGGAAGAAGTCCGAAGAACAATAGGGGAAGACAGAGTGATAGCCCGTTTCAGCTGCTGAATAAAAATAGTATGTCCCCAAAATAATCCAACAATTGCCGGTGTCCAAAATACCCAGTCTGAGTCCTGGGCAGAGTCGCCCAAAATAGTAGCCACTCTCTCTCTCTCTCTCTCTCTCTCTCTCTCTCTCTCTCTCTCTCTCTCTCTCTCNCTCTCTCTCTCTCTCTCTCTCTCTCTCTCTCTCTCTCTCTCTCTCTCTCTCTCTCTCTCTCTCTCTCTCTCTCTCTCTCTCTCTCTCTGTGGACAAAGGAGGAGGGAGGTAGAAGATATGGAGGGTGAGGGTGAGAACTGAGAAAAAGAAGAAGAAGAAGAAGAAGAAGAAGAGGAAGAAGAATCTCTCTCTCTCACACACACGCACTGTGATGATGTCGACAAGTACTGGCCAGTGAAAGATGACGTCTTGAGCTGGTGCAGGTCGCAGTTGAAGGCCGGCTTCCAAGACGGTATGAAGACAGACCAATGGCACCGAAGTGAGTCTTCTCGAATCCCCGCTTCTACAGACATCTCCCTCTCTCCTCCAGCCTACTCTTCTACACTACCCAGCACAGCTCCTCTCGCTCATGCTGCTCTCCAGCAGCATGTCGCTCTCAGTCCTCTTGACTCTCTGCCCCTAAAGTGAGGCCTGGCCCAGCTATATACCGCTGGGCATGGTGGCAATGCCTCCAGTCTGCGTTCAGGACTGTTCGATTGAATCACTGATCGATGTTTCTGAACGCAAGCCCAAGTCCTGGCCCCGAAGACTGGCCCCAAAACGGCCTGCCTGGCCCCCTACCACATGTCCAGGCAAGTCCAGAATGGACAAGGGCTGGGCCAGGCACTACAGACAAGCTCCTGGCGCAGTCCATGTACGGACAAAATTATCCAGGCCTAAAACGGCGAAAATTTGTGAACCCAGTATCCAACTGGCAACTGGTCCTAACAGGCACAAGTGACTGTTTGGACAAAAGGAAAAGTCTGAAACAACCTGGCCCAGACCAGACAGAACCTGAAACAGACAAAAATGCCCTGAACCAAAACGTGAATCAGAGCAGCAAACTTCACCTTTCTTTTGTTCCCCCTTTTTTCAGTTAACAGTAACTTAATACAAGAACGGCAAGACTCTACTGGAAGCCAACTACCGCCAGGAACCTCTTACCCAGGCCCTCAGGCACCCAAAATGGAGTTGGTGCAGCCTGGGGCCCTGCCAAACCCAAGTCAGGCCCTTCAGGGCCCGTGTAGCAGGCCTGTGCACGCTACACGGCGGGCAAACAGGTTGAGGATCGGGGAATGGGAAGTAGGAGGAAAAATGACTAAATTCTTCTTCCAAAATAAAATCACACCTTCACAAGCAACTCGTCCATGCTACAATTGTGAGATGATGCAACAATCACCTCTGAACCCAAACACACGCCCTGGTAGCTGTCCTTCCTTAAGAACCTATACTCGGTCCTATACACATCGAAAACAGTCAATCCCACACCTCGAGCAGTGATCCAAGCTAGACAGGTCCTCAATAACTATCTGTAGAGGAGGCAGGAGGATGATCGTGATAGTCATATTGCATGCCATGTATTCAATGCGTTCACTGTGATATGTAAAGCCTCACGCATTGATTACAAACTGCAGTTGTCGATCGATATCTGGAGAGGACAATCCCACAAGAGTGGGAAGAAAAGCTGGGCAAACCTATCGAGGCAGAGGAAGTCTTTGGAGCACTCAAGTCCATGAAACCTTCTAAAATGTCAGGACAAGATTACTTACGCAAAGAATTTTGGATAACTTACTGGGACATCCTGGGACAGAGAATGCACTTGATTTCTACAAAAAGTGTGGGAGAACAAGGGAATGGGAGTATATCTTACTACAGATATTGTCACACTCCTCTACAAGATAGGAGATCCTGAGGACATCAAGAATTATAGGCCTATTACCTTACCAACAGTAGGGTGTAAGACAGTAAATTCTTGCCAATCTGTTGGCAAGTAGAATTAGCAATGCAACTAGAAAATGTTTCCAAGCCAGATGAACCGTGCATTCAGAATATCAACCCTGAAAGAGTAGTGCAAGGAACCCAACTGTTCATCACTTGCAGGAGTGCATCAGATCACATGCATACACACAGATTTCACAGATTGCGATGTCTCACACAAAACCCAATAGAAGATGAAATGAGAACCAGGAAGCTCAACTCAATTATCATAACCAGATTTAAGAGAGGAATTTCATGAGTCCAAAATGCATAGCGCTGAACAGAGTTACAAGTCTTCTTCGATCAACATGAGTTCCAAGCCTGGCGCTCATCAGCGCCAGCTGCCAAACGTCAACAACAGCGCTCAACAGGTAAGTGTTACCATAGCTCACACCTCCCCCTCTCTCGTCTGTCTTCTTCTCTCTCTCCCTCTATGTCTATTGTCCTGGTCTACTCCCACTCATCATGCATGTTCACTCCCTATCACACGAGGATCTACTTTGAATACTACTCACTGAACTCTCCTACTAACTATCCCTACTAATGTACTAATAGCGCTGGCGCAGCTATGGCTGCCTTCCCTCTAGCCAGCACTCTGTTTCACTCTCACATAGCGCTGCTCTTCAGCCTAGTGCAGATCACACACATCTGGTGCACAAGTGCCACGGCACTTCCACACTCTCATGCGAAGTGAGCATCTGTCAAATGGGAGGCTGGCCAGTCCTTTATAGTGCTGGACTGGTCTGGCGTGCCCTGCATTCAGCCTCAAGTGTCTGGGACTCCTGCCCAGTACCCGTTGTTGCAAAGTGTGTGTCCCAGTATCTTTTCCCATGGTCTGCTGCTGCTTTGGGCCATCGGGCCTGTCTTTTGGACTCCTGGTCTGAATCAGGACTGACTTGTGGGAGTATGACTGAACTGGGACTGTGGCCTTTGACTCATTGCCGAACAGACATGACTTTCCATCGAGGAGACATGACCCTTTCTCAGTCTTAAAAACTGTGTCCAATACCTGTTCGTTCAGGAACTGTTTGCGACTGTTCAAAATGACCTTTCATTTCATTATGGATGTGACATTTGCCTCAGGAACTTGTCTTTTGGGTTGCTGCTCGTGAATTTAAATTCTGGCCGACAGGGCCCCTCGCTGTTGGGGTACTCATCTGGGGTCTAATTCGTAAAGGCCCTTTTAGTAGTGCTGGATGCTTGTTGATGCTTTGCTGACGCTGCATTGTCCATTCGAGTCCTGTTCATCACTTGGCGGATCCTTGGCTCCATTTACATCGCTCGATCGAGCATGTATCAAGGAGATCCATCCTGGACAATGTAATGACTTCAGCAAAATCTATTAGGATAAGAAGATAAAATGCAAACTGGGAGTTCCCTTCGGCAGTGTATGGAAAAAATGGGGGTGGGAGTCCATGGGACCAAATTTTCAGAAACGGGATAAGAGTTCTCAACAACGACGCTCACGGGGGGGGCGGGGGGGGTACAGGTCAATGGTCAGATCTCAGATTTCTACCGCATGGCCAGGTTGGTTAAGGTAGGGAGATCCACACGCAGTGCCTATACTCCTTTTCATAATGGAGGCAATCACCTGCTCCCTCCTTCAGTCCATTAACTCACGGATGACTCAGGAGGTCCAGGCATCTTTCCAAAACTTCTCACCACAATCCTCTCTGCAGATGATCTAATCGTTGTCATTAGGGCCTCTAGCTCCTCGTTCAAAGCTCTAACAGGGGCCACACAAGCATCCCAATAAGCACCTGAAATCAAAATGAACTGGGAAAAGACCATAGGCTGGTGGATACAGGACGACGCAATACAGAAAACAATAGCTATGCCGGAAGGGGTGATGTGGGTGGACATGGAAGACCCCATTTGATTCCTAGGAAGGCAACAAAACAAAACGAAAAAAAGAATCAGCTTGTGGACATAGAGGTAGGACAGCGAGTAATAACATTAACATGAACACACACGCATAGACATGAAACACACTCACAAGTACGTGTGATGATGTGTGTGAACACATATTGCGGACACCTCTGCACAGTAAAAACCATGCACCATACCATCGCAACACTTCAGGAGGAGAATACGCATCTGAGTGGAGTCGAGTCCAAAGGCAATGAAGAGAGAACAACGAGACACACAGGCCACAGACAACAAGACAACACACAGGCTGGAGGGCATGGGGGAGGAGGGAGGGCAGACAACACACAAGCAACAGACACGGCAGACAATAAAAAAAATGACCAAGGGCTGGAAGGCACGAGGGATATAGGACGACAGACAACAAGCACACAAGGCAGGCAAATCGGAAAAAAGTAAAGTCCGTAAAAGTTTCAGAGACCGAAAAAAATAAAAGAAAAACTGATGATGAAAGATTGTTTCATCGGAGTTGCACCGACTCATCAGGAGGTTGAACCCTCGACAATCTGTGGGAATCTGCGTATTAGATGGTTTGAGTCATGAACCCTTTGACCCTTGTTGAAGGCAGACTGTCCCCAAGCGGAACATAGCAGTGGGCGGCGACCCTGTGGAGCACCAGGCAGCACAGTAGAGGCAACACGGCTGCACAACGCCAAAAAACGACTACAAGGAAAGACATGGCACGCAGCACGGAAACACGGAAGGCACGGCCAGCGGATGGGCAGCAAGCCAGCGGAGCAGCGAAGCGCAAGGCAACACCGACAACACAGCCACACCACACAGCGAACACAGCAACTTGCAGAGAACCACATGCAAAGCAAGCGGGACAGGCAGCAAGG